TGCGTCAACGCCGTGTACATCACTTACCTACTGTGACGCCTCATAATTATTATTAATAAATAATAATTATATTCATTATACAGACATTTAAAAATGTCATAGAAATTATAATTTAAATAATAAAATGCAAATAATAAGCATAGAGTTCAAAAATATCCATTTGGAATATTGAATATTATATATATTAGTAAACGCATACAATGTCTCAAAAAATCTCTAAATTTATTAAAAACCTGCTTAAAATGTTCAAAATATATCAAATCATATAAATACAAGGCGATTATATTGCAATAACAAAGATAAATAACATTTGTAATATAATAGAAAAAATGGATTAAAATTTTCTAAGTTGATGAAGGAGTTCGTGTAATAATTGGAAAATTTCTAAGTTAATGAACGTGTTCTTGTAATGTACCCTTATATTGGGGCGTTGTCGGAGACACATACCCAAGGTTGTACATATATATGGGGTGGTCGGCTGACCGACTGCTAGTACTAAGGTTGCACAATGACTAGTCCTATATTAGGGACTTAACATAGTAAGGTCTGACGAACCAAAGCATTAATATAGAAGGTCTCTATGATGCATAAGCATTATGATAGCAGAGTTATGACTTGAAGTCCCATATGAATAAGACATACAGTAGTATGGTCTATGAAATAAAGCAAATATGTGGAAGGTCTCAAATATGTAAAAGCATTATATTGAAAGAAATGGGACTTGAAAAGGATTATTATAGTGGCGTGTAGGTTGCTTCGCAGCCTCTGAGACCGAGGTAAACTTGGACTCACTAACCGATGTGTCCTAGACATATCATCTTAGTGCCGGTGGTAAGCGGGTTTGTTGTAGCAATACGACTTGCCCGTGGACATCGCACAACCCTACCGGTTGTGGGCGGCGTCTTAGCGCATAGCGTTATGATACGTCGGCTATCTTTCGGATTAGGGTGAGTGTGTTTGGTAGTACTTTTAAGTGCAGCAAGCATACTCAACTTCATGTCTTAGTGCAATAGTGCTATGATACGTGGAGTTTTGGCTACTGACGTCTTAGTACCGTGCTACTATGATACGTTGGTGGTATTTTTAGTTAACAACATTATCACATTTTGTTACCAAAGTCGATAGGGATCATGTGGGTGTGTTGTGAGGGGGCGCCATCCGTATGATAGTTGCATTGATACTTACTGCTACTTGCAGTATTGTGTCTTGTGATGGATCTGCGGGTGTGCTGCACCTGATTCGATGCATCTTGTGGTTCTGGTCGATGGAGGTATGCGGGTGGTGATGTCTGCTGGGACTGTATGGGGGACCTTGGGATGGTGTAAGCCCGACGATAGTCGTATTGATGCTTGTTGCATTCTGTAGCATTGCGTCTCTACGATGGTTGTTTGGCGGGTCGCTATTCTCAATGGCGCTCTCTGCGTCTTGGTTTGACTCACAACCTAAGTAGCTTTGCCCAAGTCGGGTCCCTTCATTGCGGGGCTGCAGACTGTCTGCCCTCCATGATGTTTTATTTATACAACTTAATAATATATCTCTATAAAGTTCCCACCTTTGAGAGATTGAAGGCAACTTGTTGGTGGGTGAGACAAACATGATCGAAAAATGCATATACTCAACGTCAGAGACACAAACCCTTTCTGATGGCGAATTATTAATATTATCTTATAACTGCCTATTGGCTATATCTGCCATTGTATTGGTTGGTGGAGCATATGTGTTGACCTCATGCGGGTGGTAGCTGGAGGGAGAATCTGAGGAGGCTCTCAAGGCTGCGGCCGAAAGCCGCGCAACGTGGGACCCCATTCCCTTGAGGTGAGCGGTAGACTCATGACACGCTCTGCGGCCAATTGGCCGTGCTGACCATGCAATTGGTGGTGATGCCTTACACTTACATCACGTCTGCAGGAACGGCGGTCTGGCAGGTGGTGGCGCTCACGGAAGGCTTTTTATGGTCAGTGTGCCTATTGTTGCCTAACCCGTGTGACGTACATTTCACTGTGGCTGGATTTGATCGTATTCTGTATGGCGTTTACACGCATTGACATGCGCGACTTCGGTCGATGTTTGTGCTTACGCACTGTCAAGGGGCCAAGTCCTCTTTTACTGGTTCGCCAGTTATTTTGCTGTGGACTACGGTCCAGTTCCCAACTTTGCGTACCCTTCGGGGGGAGCGCATTAAAATGGTTGGCGCTCACCGTGCGCGGCGTGTGTGGGGCCGTGTACCTCCTCCACATTTTTTTTAAAATGTGGGAGAGCGAAGCCCTTGTAACTGGTATTTGATATAAATATTGTGAGCCTTTTCCAAGCGGGAAGGGATTAATTAATAAGGAATTGACTGTTGTGAACCAGATACAAGTGGAATAGGGACAATTTATTGTTCTTAACCTTTTTGAGCTCTGTCTTCGTGAACGGGGTTCTTTAGCTTATAAGACTCTACCAACAGCTTTCGATTGCTCTCGTGAATATTCATTCTTCCAAGATACACCTAAAAGAACTAAGTTACTATACAAACACAACGTAAAAAAGGGTCCTAACTAAGACGATCACGCCATAAATCTAAACGGCCTATATTTAAACCTTTAGAAAGATCAAGTTATACTGGTCACGTAAATTTGATATATTTATATATCTTACAGATATAGATTCTAAAGAAATACAAATATAAGTGGGATATAGTAGAAAAGAGAAAAAAAGATGGGGGGGGGGGTTCGTTACAATTTGGTGCCGTGACCAGGATGGAGGTTAAATTTTAAATAGGAGGCCGGTAATATAAAATTATGAGGTAGGCTATATGCCTACAATTTGTTGTCCGTGAAATGGAGAGGTGTCTTGGAGAGTGGTGTTTGCTGGGGGTGGTTGAGAGTCTGGGGGTGGGGCTTAAATATTAAAATTGAGTAATAATATAGGAGACGTGTGCATAACGGAGCAAAATAATAAAAAGTGAAATAAGTGGAAAGACTCAATTAAACTAAGTGAAGGACACAACAGGTGTAAAAAAAAAAAAAAAAAAAAAAAAAAAAAAAAAAAAAAAAAAAAAACTGCAATCCTATATATTATAAAGTGAAATAAGTGGAAAAACTCAATTAAAGTAACTGAAGGACACAAAAAGTGTAAAAAAAAAAAAAGTGGAAATAAAAATTAAATAAGAAAAAATCAACCTCAGTTAAGGCTAAGCCTAAAGATGAGATGAAAATGCTTCAGAAATTAATTAAGAATGCAGTGAAAACCTTTGAGGTTAAAATAAAGGATCTTGAGGAAAAATTTATTAACCAAACGAAAGATTACCAAATTAAAATAAATCAAGAAGAGGTGTCCGGGGCGAGCACCTCTCATGTAAATGATCCTAGACAAAATATTGTATATAATGTACATAATGTAACAATAGAAAAGCCGAAATTTGGAAATGGAAATACTCATCCAGTATCATTTTTGGAAGATCTCACCAATTATTTAAAGAAAGTTCACTCTAATGGTCTCGAAATTTCGATTGCACAAGAGTGCTTAGTAGGTGAAGCCAAGTATTGGGCTCGCATTAATAATGTGCGTTGGACAACTTTTGATGATTTTAAAGCTGACTTCCTAAGAGTGTTTTGGGGTGAAGAAGAACAAAATAAAGTAAAGAGATTCCTTGTGCAAAATAAATGGAATAGAAGTACACACCCCACCATGGTTAGTTATTTTCTTTATGTGGTTGAGAAGGCACAAACATTATCATATCCGATACCTGAAAAACAATTAGTAACTGATGTCATCAGACATTATCCTAAAGCTGTGCAGCAATTATGGAGAATAGCTAAAATTGAGACAATAATAGACACGACAGATTTCTTAAGAAACTTAGATGACATCGACAAACAAGATGAAGGTCGTGAACCTTACTATAATGAGAAAAGGAGGAAGTTTAATAATAATACGGAGCAAAAACATAAAGAAATACAACAATCATACAAAATATGGCGTAAACCCGAAGAGGGAAAAAAGAAGGTTAATGAAGTACATGAAATACATTTCACTAATGACCAACCTGATGTTACGGCCCCTGAGCCAAATTTAGAGCTGTAGAGGTCGAACTAGTTCCCAATTCGACCCCTTACAATGTAAAAGGGAACAAAGCATTAAATATGTTATTAAAACTGGGTTGGCGACCTGGTCAAACATTGGGTAAAAACAATAGAGGGTTGCGAAAACCTATTACTTTAAAAGCAAATTTTAACAGAGAAGGCCTTGGTTATAACGACAATGTAAATAGCATATTAAACACCTTAAAAGCCAGGTCGGACTTGCCCATAACGGAGTTATTCGTGCAAACCGTCTTCGAGGAAGACGAAGATAAATATCAAAGGGAATTTATAGGGAATATGAGATCTGAAATTAAAGTTTCAATATTTGACAAAGAAATAGACGCGCTCCTTGACACTGGGAGCGATGTTACATGCATTTCAGAAAGTTTATATTTACAAATTAAAGATAATAATCGTAAAATATCAATAATGCCAGTTAAAGCAATGCAAATAAAAGGTGCTGTTGGGCAGCGCAGCACAAAAATACAACAGATGATCATATTGCCTATAAAGATAGATGAAGTAGTCTTTGAAACACAAACTTTAATTGTAGGTAATTTAATAAGACCTTTAATATTAGGCTTTGACTGGCTCAAGAGAAATAAAATATTGATTGATTTGAGAAATACTACTGTTGGAATAGAATTTAAAGTGAAAAACAAAGACTACTTTATACCTTTCAAATATAATAATAAATCTGTATTACATAATAACTGCATCAAACAATGTACCGATGATCCCTTAATAAATATAAAAATAGGATCTACATTGGAGGTCTCTGAAAGGGCAAAACTTAGTAAGGTTTTGGAAAAGCATAAGAATATGTTTTCGAGCAAATTGGGAAGAGCCAATTGCTATGAGCATAAAATTGAAATGATCGATGATGAACCTATAGTTACTAGGTCCTATCCCATTCCATATGCATATAGAGCGAAAATGGAAGAAAAGTTAAATGAAATGGAACAAGCTGGTATCATCACAAGGACATCAACGCCTTACAGTAGTCCATTGACATTCACTCTTAAAAAAGACGGCTCAATTAGAGTTCTGCTTGATGCCAGAAGCATAAATAAGAAAATGGTTGCAGAAACAGAGAAACCACCTATACAATTAGATATTTTGAATTCATTTCACGGAGCGAATTATATCACTACCATTGACTTAAATAATGCATATTTTCAAATTCCGATAAATAAAGATGGTAGAAAATATACTGGATTCACATTCAATGGAAAGTCATATGTATATAATGTTTTGCCGCAAGGATTAAAAACATCAGTAGGAAGCTTTAGCAGAGCCATGAATTTAATATTAGGACCAGAAGTCCAAGAATTTTGTGTGAACTATTTAGATGATCTAACCATTATTACAACAGGAACGTTAGATAAACATTTGGAGCACATTGATATTGTTTTAAGTAAATTGAACAAAGCTGGCTTAACGTGTAACTTGCAGAAATGTGAATTTATTTGTAAAGAAATTAAAATGCTGGGTTTTATAATTTCAACAGAAGGCATAAAGACAGATCCCGATAAGATTCGAGCGATTCAAGAGTTTCCAGCACCTAAAAAGATTAAACAATTAAGGGCCTTTTTAGGTCTATGCAATTTTTATAGAAGGTTTATACCAAATTACAGCGAGAGCATAATACCGCTCTGTGAATTACTTAAAAAAGGGACGAAAGTTCCAATGGAGCGGTAAAGAACAGAAGGCATTTGATTTTATAAAACAACAATTTATTAATACAATACAATTGCATCATCCAGACTTTAATAAGCCGTATTATTTACAAACAGATTGTTCCGGTGTGGGTATGGCCGGAGTACTATATCAGATAGATGATAATAATGAAATGAGAATTTTAGGCTATCATAGTAAAGCCTTAAAAGGCCCCGAATTAAATTGGTCTGTTACTGAACAAGAGTTTTATGCTGTAATAAGCTGCCTAAAGAAATTTGAAACATATTTGAGGGGCAGTAAAGTAATAATACTAACTGATCATAAAGCATTATTGTTTATTAATAATATGAAGTTATTCAATGGTAGAGTAACCCGATGGATTTTGTATATAGAACAATTTAATTATGAAGTACAGCATATATCGGGTAGACGTAATATTGTTGCAGATGTGCTATCACGTTATCCTCCTGATGGCGATTTAATACAAGAGGATAAAAATAATAGTTTAGAAATTGCTTACACAGAGAGCGAACCGAATATTGAGTTGATAGAAAAATTAAAATCCTTAACAGTATATCAATTACAAGATTCAGAGTCGTTGGCTATTATTGAAAAGTTAAAGACATTAAATACTTCCATAATAAAACAAAACAATAAATTTAAAAGGTATAGTTTGAAAAATGATGTATTATATTACAAAACGAATTTACAAGAAGTAATATATTTACCTAAAGCATTGAGACAAGATATTATAAATCAAGTGCATGTCGAAATGGGTCATCAAGGACCCTATAAGGTAATTAAATATGTGAGAGACAGATTCTTTTGGAAAGGTTTAACAAAAGATATTAAAAACCAATTAAGGGCTTGTCATTTATGTCAGTTATCTAAGAAAAGCAATATAACATATGTGGGTCCCTGCAAATCTATAATAATAGAAAACATTGGCGATATAGTCATGGCAGACTTATATGGACCGCTTGTATCAGGTACCTTTGGGTACACTTTCATATTTGTCATTCAAGATTCATTCAGTAAATTTATCAAATTATATCCTTTAAAACAGTCAACAGCAAAGTCTGTTGTAACAAAAGTAAAGCATTTTGTTGAGATTATAAAGCCCAAGGCAATAATGACAGATAATGGAAAACAGTTCGTAAGTAATCACTGGAAACAATCAATGAGTGAATTAAATATAAAGCCAATATATACCACAGTTAGAAATCCTAGACCAAATACAACAGAGCGAGTAAATAAAGAGTTGAGCAGATTATTTAGGACGCTTTGTCATACTAACCACAAAGATTGGGCGTTAATATTGCCGAAATTAGAAGAATTGTATAATAATTCTTATCACAATAGTACAGGCTTCACGCCTTGTGAGATTCTTTATGGTGAGTCTAATGAGATGTCTTTTGACAAAGTAATTTCTAAAAGTAAAGACAAACATAATGTTGAACAAATTAGACAACAAGTGCGTAAAAATTTAAAAGAGGCAAGTCGAATAAGAAACACAAAATTTGATAAGCGAAATAGATTAATAAAATATAATATTGGTGACTTAGTAAAAATTTCAAGATCTAGTAGATCAGACGCTGATAATAAAGTTATGAGTAAGTTCAATTTGGCATATGAAGGACCTTATGTAATAACAGCCGTACCATTTGACAATGTATATACCTTAGCAAATCCAGAGACAAACAAAATTAGAGGAATTTTCAATGCTATTCACTTATTAAAATATTTTAAATAATAATTTATTTTTGTATAAATTAGAGTAATTAAATAAATATTGTAACATAAAAGGGTTTTGTGGGTGGCCCATGGAAATAATTGTTTAAGTTAAAGGTCTAAAATTATTAAAGTTATGAGCAAGAGATTTGTTATATGATAGTAGAACGTTATTAATATATAATGAAGAGTTGTAAATATAGATCGTAAGATAATTTTGTAATCATTTTTATTAAATAAATATGGGAGTTGGGTCAGGGCGAATGGCTCAAACACATTTATCCTATGTGGTATCGAACTGACCTCAACAAATATCAAACTGGATTGTATGCACATAAAGTGTGACACTATCGAAATAATGTTTCAAAGATTTAAAGATAAATTAATAAAATAAGAAATCGACAATTGACTGCAAACTTTATTAACAACACGATATACAATAACTTGAATTATGGTGTTATCACATTGTGATAATTGTGGTTGAAGGGGTGTTGGTGGCGGCCATTCTCTGGGGCAGGGGGATTTGATAACATATGCCGTATTGTAACAGAATAAAAGAGGAAAGAACAGATATATAAACAATTATTTGAGTGTAGTGTATATGCTCTCAAAATACTAAAATTTTATATTAACGACTCCACTATGTGGATCATTAACATAAAATTTGGGGGTGGATTGTGACGCCTCATAATTATTATTAATAAATAATAATTATATTCATTATACAGACATTTAAAAATGTCATAGAAATTATAATTTAAATAATAAAATGCAAATAATAAGCATAGAGTTCAAAAATATCCATTTGGAATATTGAATATTATATATATTAGTAAACGCATAAAATGTCTCAAAAAATCTCTAAATTTATTAAAAACCTGCTTAAAATGTTCAAAATATATCAAATCATATAAATACAAGGCGATTATATTGCAATAACAAAGATAAATAACATTTGTAATATAATAGAAAAAATGGATTAAAATTTTCTAAGTTGATGAAGGAGTTCGTGTAATAATTGGAAAATTTCTAAGTTAATGAACGTGTTCTTGTAATGTACCCTTATATTGGGGCGTTGTCGGAGACACATACCCAAGGTTGTACATATATATGGGGTGGTCGGCTGACCGACTGCTAGTACTAAGGTTGCACAATGACTAGTCCTATATTAGGGACTTAACATAGTAAGGTCTGACGAACCAAAGCATTAATATAGAAGGTCTCTATGATGCATAAGCATTATGATAGCAGAGTTATGACTTGAAGTCCCATATGAATAAGACATACAGTAGTATGGTCTATGAAATAAAGCAAATATGTGGAAGGTCTCAAATATGTAAAAGCATTATATTGAAAGAAATGGGACTTGAAAAGGATTATTATAGTGGCGTGTAGGTTGCTTCGCAGCCTCTGAGACCGAGGTAAACTTGGACTCACTAACCGATGTGTCCTAGACATATCATCTTAGTGCCGGTGGTAAGCGGGTTTGTTGTAGCAATACGACTTGCCCGTGGACATCGCACAACCCTACCGGTTGTGGGCGGCGTCTTAGCGCATAGCGTTATGATACGTCGGCTATCTTTCGGATTAGGGTGAGTGTGTTTGGTAGTACTTTTAAGTGCAGCAAGCATACTCAACTTCATGTCTTAGTGCAATAGTGCTATGATACGTGGAGTTTTGGCTACTGACGTCTTAGTACCGTGCTACTATGATACGTTGGTGGTATTTTTAGTTAACAACATTATCACATTTTGTTACCAAAGTCGATAGGGATCATGTGGGTGTGTTGTGAGGGGGCGCCATCCGTATGATAGTTGCATTGATACTTACTGCTACTTGCAGTATTGTGTCTTGTGATGGATCTGCGGGTGTGCTGCACCTGATTCGATGCATCTTGTGGTTCTGGTCGATGGAGGTATGCGGGTGGTGATGTCTGCTGGGACTGTATGGGGGACCTTGGGATGGTGTAAGCCCGACGATAGTCGTATTGATGCTTGTTGCATTCTGTAGCATTGCGTCTCTACGATGGTTGTTTGGCGGGTCGCTATTCTCAATGGCGCTCTCTGCGTCTTGGTTTGACTCACAACCTAAGTAGCTTTGCCCAAGTCGGGTCCCTTCATTGCGGGGCTGCAGACTGTCTGCCCTCCATGATGTTTTATTTATACAACTTAATAATATATCTCTATAAAGTTCCCACCTTTGAGAGATTGAAGGCAACTTGTTGGTGGGTGAGACAAACATGATCGAAAAATGCATATACTCAACGTCAGAGACACAAACCCTTTCTGATGGCGAATTATTAATATTATCTTATAACTGCCTATTGGCTATATCTGCCATTGTATTGGTTGGTGGAGCATATGTGTTGACCTCATGCGGGTGGTAGCTGGAGGGAGAATCTGAGGAGGCTCTCAAGGCTGCGGCCGAAAGCCGCGCAACGTGGGACCCCATTCCCTTGAGGTGAGCGGTAGACTCATGACACGCTCTGCGGCCAATTGGCCGTGCTGACCATGCAATTGGTGGTGATGCCTTACACTTACATCACGTCTGCAGGAACGGCGGTCTGGCAGGTGGTGGCGCTCACGGAAGGCTTTTTATGGTCAGTGTGCCTATTGTTGCCTAACCCGTGTGACGTACATTTCACTGTGGCTGGATTTGATCGTATTCTGTATGGCGTTTACACGCATTGACATGCGCGACTTCGGTCGATGTTTGTGCTTACGCACTGTCAAGGGGCCAAGTCCTCTTTTACTGGTTCGCCAGTTATTTTGCTGTGGACTACGGTCCAGTTCCCAACTTTGCGTACCCTTCGGGGGGAGCGCATTAAAATGGTTGGCGCTCACCGTGCGCGGCGTGTGTGGGGCCGTGTACCTCCTCCACATTTTTTTTAAAATGTGGGAGAGCGAAGCCCTTGTAACTGGTATTTGATATAAATATTGTGAGCCTTTTCCAAGCGGGAAGGGATTAATTAATAAGGAATTGACTGTTGTGAACCAGATACAAGTGGAATAGGGACAATTTATTGTTCTTAACCTTTTTGAGCTCTGTCTTCGTGAACGGGGTTCTTTAGCTTATAAGACTCTACCAACAGCTTTCGATTGCTCTCGTGAATATTCATTCTTCCAAGATACACCTAAAAGAACTAAGTTACTATACAAACACAACGTAAAAAAGGGTCCTAACTAAGACGATCACGCCATAAATCTAAACGGCCTATATTTAAACCTTTAGAAAGATCAAGTTATACTGGTCACGTAAATTTGATATATTTATATATCTTACAGATATAG